ATTATTCAATATGGAATTGTATGCAGACATTTTTTTCAGGTTATGTTAGCTACAAAAAATGCATACTTCCATATTAGATTAATTCCAACTCGATAGTATAATGATGAGAACAAAGACAGCTCAGAGGAATTATTTCTGCAAGCAGATAAATTTGAACATGATAATCAAAATACAACACAAAATTCAAGTAGTGCAGTGACATATTTGTGTATTTTTGATCAGGGTGGAAAAGATTTTCATAAGGAAAATTTAACCATTCTTGAACAAAAGGCTATTTATGGAAAATTGCATAGCATATATAAGAAAGCTCTTAACAAGGCATTACAAAATAATTTAAAATCACAGTAGCTTACTAATCTACTTCAAGAATTTGTTAAAAATATTAGTGAGCAGTCAGATTCGGGTGAAAGTTTATAAGCTGATGATACTAATGATAAAAATTCTATAACATCTCAACTAAAAAATTCAAAAAAATATCGTGAAAAAGGATGACTACTTGGTACTAAAAGATTTAAATCTTCGTATGAAGGTCATGAATCTAAAATTAAACATCAACGTCAATGTAAAAAATGTGGTAATACAGGCCATTATCAAAAAATTGCAAGGTAAGATTATTATTCATTGTTTTTGCTAATTATTTCTTATTTATACTATACTTATATAAATATTTATATTTGATTCAGAAATAACTCAAGCCTATTACTATAGCACAAGTTTGATACAGTAGTCATATAGTATAGTTCTATTATAAATCTGTTATAAGGATATTAAAAATCTACTGACTATAATTATTGTGTTTTCTTGGAGGTTCGATCGATACTATATAACTATTATATTAAATTGTCATAGCAATATACTTGAGTTATTTTCGAATCAAAATACTGAAATATGAATTTTGTTATATCTAATAATAGGTGTAAATTACAAATGAAAAATTAGGTTTAATGTATTTGCAAAAATTATAATGTATTATGAACAATAATTTTGCTTTAATACTTGTATTGATACTTTTTTGATATGCAAATAAATGAACATAAATTTCTTTATACGTAGTAATCATGATTGTAAAAGTTCATTTGATCCTATTTTACACTGAATTTGGAAACTATCTAAAATTGCGTACATACATATGTTCTGTAGCCCTATTTCAGCTAACCTTATATATAGCCGCAAATTTTTGTATTATAATTGCATCATAGGGTATCTTTTTTTGTTACTATAACGTTGTATTGCTAACCAATACATTTACAGATTTTATTAGTATAGTCGTATGTTACTTGAGCTTCTGTATATTATTTATTATATTAGCGATAAATCGCTATAGCGAGAAATTATAAAATGATACAAGCTCTTTTTTTAAATTTTAATAATACTATATAATAATAATCACATGATGGGAACTAGCGATGTATTGCTATAGTGATAGATTACAAAATCCTTTTTTTAAAAATATATATACTTTAATAGCTTTTATTAATAACAGATAA